TATATGTATATGTCTGTATATATATATATATATATATATAATATATATGTATATCAGTATATGTATATGTTATTTCTATATGTATATGTATACCTTAAAAAAAAAAAAGAAAAAAAAAAAAGAGGAAAATAGCAAAACCCGAACCCGACCCGAAATAACCGGGTACCCGGTTGCCGGGTACCCGGTTATCTCGGGTCGGGTTCGGGTAATTTTTTTTTTGCAAAAAACCCGAATAACCCGACCCGAATAACCCGACCCGACCCGAATGCCCACCCCTAGGCATACTTGAGTGGGCGCTCATACTAGATGAGTTCACTGAACTCCCTCGCCCTAGAAATCTATAAGTGGTTCTCATTCATCGAGTAATAGGTTTCTAAGATATAATTGTACACCATTAGTCCTTAAGACCCAGATATCACCGTGACTTCACTAGAGGACCGATTGTATCGTGACCTGTCTCTGAGTCCCACCGCGGACCACTCCAAGGGCCAACGTTCGTGCAATCCGAAATCTAGTGTGAAGTCTGTGCATTGTAGTAGGGGATTCGAGCGCTTGAGTAGTCATGGATGTCCTGTGTGTTTTGACGGTTTATAATCCAAGGAATCTCTGGCCAGAGTTGATAGTGGGGTGATTAGGGAAATATGTTTCCCTAAGTCACACACGAACGGATTTATAATACCTAGAACGTTCGCACAATCATTGAACTTTATAAGAGGTCTCGGTGAACCAATGCCTCTAGTTCAATCGGGACATATGCTGCGAAGGGATCGTACTGTACGCTAACTATATCATAAGGTTCTTGCAGGCACTTCACTTGTATCTAGGGAATCATGATGCGTAGTTGCTAGACGCCAATCTTGATTCGTTGGGCACCGATTTGATCGGGGATTAGGTAAAATGAGTTTTACTCTAATCGGGACTCTTGGGAGGAGTTCGTATAAGAACAATGTGTTGTTCGAATCACAAAGAGTTGTGAGCCCACGGCTAGCATACACCTGAACCATTGAGGGTCACACTTCTCGTGTAATACGGATCCTTGATAACAATGAGCATAGGTTAATATGTTAATCTTTGCGAAGTTGGAGGTCAATATGATTGAGTCCAAGATTCGTTATTGTGGATTACGAGTCGGAATAAACGTAGAGAAAGAGACATGCGGAAATTAGTGAATTTTCTAAATTGGGAAGTTTCCCGATTTAGCAGGTCCACTGAAGTGGAAGTTTCCAATTTTGGAAATTGGAAATTTCGAATAGGCACTCGTATCGACGAGGACTTTGAGCTCGTCACAAATATAATTTTGTTATAATTTTGTGAACGATCGTTTGTTAGAAACGAGGCTGACGAGGGAATGGACTTAATGCATCAGT